ACGTTCACCTGCACATCTGCTAATGTGGTATACTATATCCACTGTTCCCGTCGTGGCCTCCTCTACATCGGGGAAACCAAACGGAGGCTTGGGGACCGCTTTGTGGAACCCCTACGATCAGTTCGCAACTAACAACTGCACGTCTCAGTCGCGAACCATTTCAACTCCCCCTCCCACTCCTTGAACTACATGTCCATCCTGGGCCTCCTGCAGTGCCACAACGATGCCACCCAAAGGTTGCAGGAACAGCATCTCATATTTTGCTTGGGAACCCTGCAGCCCAATGCTATCAATGTTGACTTCACAAGCTTCAAAATCTCCCCTCCCCCGACCGCATCCCAAAACCAGCCCAGCTCGTCCCCGCCTCCCTAACCTGTCCTCCCACCTATCCACTCCTCCCACCTCAAGCCCCAACCCCATCTCCTACCTACTAGCCTCAGCCCACCTCCTTGACCTGTCCGTCCTCCTTGGACTGACCTATCCCCTCCCTAACTCACCTTTACTGGCTCCAACCCCGCCTCCTTGACCTGTCTGTCTCCTCTCCACCTATCTTCTCCTTTATCCATCTTCTATCCGCCTCCCCCTTTCTCCCTATTTATTTCAGAATCCCCTTCCTCTCCCCCATTTCTGAAGAAGGGTCTAGACCGAAACGTCAGCTTTCCTGCTCCTCTGATGCTGCTTGGCCTGCTGTGTTCATCCAGCTCTACACCTTGTTATCTCAGATTCTCCAGCATCAGCAGTTCCTACTATCTCTGCAAAATTGTACTGTTGGATGAACTTTACTTAAATCCTTAAATATACTAATATCCTAGCAAATTGTACAACAAGAAATGCAGAGGGCCTTATGCCAAATAACTGTGGGCGTAGTAGTAATTAAGAAGTAAATATACTTACCAGAGGACTACATACATGCCAAATAGCAGAAGCATCATGCACTAGACAACTAACCAATCCCAAAATAAAAAGAGATTAGATCAAGACTCTGCAGTTCTAGCACATCCAACGGCAGACAAACAAACATTTAAAGGTGGTGATGGCTTTAGAAATATCCCAACACGTGTGGGGAAAAAAGACAAGGCTAAAAATTTCCATTCATTTTGGTCAGAGATACTAAGTGGACATAATTTGATTAAATCTAAGTGATATCAAGAAATGGACTGAAGCATTAGATACCGTATGGGGTAGAAGTCCTGACAACATTTAGGCAATAATACTGCAGACTTGTGATTCAGAACAAATATCGTTCTGAGCTAAGCTGTAACAATACAGCTGCAATGCTGGCATCTACTGAACAATGAGGGAAAACTGACCATGCATATCCTATACATAGAAGTACGACCTAGGCAATCACTGCCCCAGTCGACTCTCAATCACAGTGATATCAAGTGGCATTAGCTGAACAATAACTGGCTCACTAATATTCAGTTTGGATTCCACCAGACCCACTCAGCTCCAGACCTCATTACTGCCTTTGTCTAAACACGCACAAAATGCTGCACTTCAAAAGGAGAATGTTGCCCCTGTCAGCAAAGCAACATTTGACCAAGTATGACATTGAGGTGCCTGAGCAAAAGTGGAGTTAATGGAAATCAAGGGAAACCCCTCCACTGGTTGGAGTCATGCCTAGTACAAAGGAAATGTTGGTGGTTGTTGAAAGTCAGGCATCTCAGCAAGAAGTCCTCAGTATAGTGCCCTAGGACCAGTCAACTTCAGCAGTTTCATTAATAGTCTTCCATCCAAAGCTGGAGTAGGAATCCCGATAGCTGTGCAATGTTCAGCACTGTTTACAACTCCTCAGACTCTGAAGCAATGCACATCCACATGCACAAAGACCTGGACAATATTCCGGCTTGAGCTGATAAGTGCAAATATCATTCATTCTACACAAGCACCAGACAATGACTGTTTTCAACAGGAAAGAATCAAACCTTTGCCTCTTGACATTCAATGGCATTACCATTGCTGAGTGCCTCATTATTAACATTCTTGAATACCACTGACTAGAAACAATTCGATTAGCCACAAAAAATACCATGGCTACAAGAACAGGTTAGAGGTTGGGAATTCTGCAGTAAGTAAATCATCTAACTTTCCAAAGCTTGTCCATCACGTACAAGCCCACAACTCAGGAGTGGAAAAGAATACTTACCATTTTAAATTACAACACTTGGGGTAGGGCCCAAATTTATGAAACAGTGGTGAATCAAAAAGTGGGGAAAGTGCACCAGGAAGTAATTTATGTGCTAAGTGATAGAAAGGATGACAAGAAAGATACAGATTTCAGATCTAAGAGGAAATCAGTAGATAAGACTGGAGATTACAAAAATTATAAAAAAGGACAAAACTTAAAGCACTGTATTTGAATGCGTGCAGCATGTGAAACAAAACAGACAAACTAGTAGGACAAATTGAGATAAACAAGTATGACCTCATGGCCATAACTGAGACTGCAAAATGACCTAGATTGGGACCTGAATATTGAAGGGTATGTGACATTTACAAAAGACAAAAAGTTAGGAAAGAATAGAGGAGTGGCTCTGTTAATTAAAGATAACATTAGCACAACAAAGAGAGATGATGTAAATTCAGAAAACCAGGACGCAGAGTAGTTTAGGTAGAGATCAGGCAAGATGAAGGCAAGAGATCACTTGTAGGAGCTGTGTACAGACCCCTAACAGTAACCACATGGTAGGACCAGGTATCAAGGAAGAAATGATGGCAGCTTATCAAAAGGTACAATTATAATGGGGGATTTTTCCTATATAGAATGGGAAAAAGTAGTCTAGATGGAAGAATTCATTGAATGTTTCTGGATAATTTCTCAAACTTGTACATTATGGTACAAGTGAGCAGGTGATACTAAACCTGCTTTCAACCAAGATAGCATTAATTACTGCCTTCACCATCAAAGAACTCCAGAGTAGCAGTGACCATAATAGGATTGAATTTTACATACAGTTTGTGAAAGAGAAATTTGGGTCAATAACTAATATTTTAGATTTAAACAAGTACAATTCTGACGGCATGAAAGTAAAGGTAGCAAAAGCAGAGTGACAACTGAAGTTAGGTCAATAGAGTTGCAGTAGCAAACATTTAAGGCAAAATTCCAGATAGTGCAGAACAAATACTTCCAACACTTGGAAAAATTCTACGGGGCAGACCCAGCATCCGCGGTTAACTGAAAAAGTCAAAAGGTTGCAACAACATCAAAGGTAAGACATATAGATGCAAAGATAGGTGTCAGGTCAGAAGACTGGATAGAATTTAAAAAATTCTATTAGATTAATAAGGAGAGAAAACTTAGAGTATGAGAGAAAGTTAGCCAAAAATATAAAAACAGATAGGAAAAGTTTCTTCAGATACTTACTTTGTTAACTCTTTTTAAGTGTTGCATTTTGGAAAATGAATCTGGGGAATTAGTAATGGAGGACAAACTGAACAGATATTTGTGGAAGTCTTCACAAGACAGGATGCAAGTAAATCCTTGAAGTAGCCATATATCAGAAACTGAAAGGGAAGGAGGAACTCAATCAAGGAAATAGTACTGTGTAAATCATTGGAACTGAGAGTTGACAAGTCCCATGCCCTGATGGGCATCCTAGGGTCTTGAAAGAAGCAGTTGGTGAGATAGTTGATGCATTGGTTTTAGGTTTCCAAAACTGATTAGATTCAGGGAAGGTTGCTTTGGATTAGCTATTTTCCAATTTAATTCTTTTATTCAAAAAGGGAGGGAAGTCAAAAGTAGGAAACTACAGGCTAGTTAGGTTAACATCTGACAAAGGGAAAATGTCAGAAGCTTTTATTGAAAAATGTTATAACAGGACACTTGGATAAGTTCAAGGTAATTAAACAGAGCCAGTATGGTTTTGTCAAAGGTAAATCATGTTTAGCTAATTTATTAGAGCTCTTTAAGAAGTAATTTGTGCTGTAAATAAAGGGGAACCAGTACATGTGTTGTACTTCGATTTCCTGAGACATTAGAGGTTATTGCAGAAAGTAAAAGCTCATGGCATAGAGAGTAACATATGCTTGTGGGGCACATTCACAAGTACCCACTCTCTTCACCACTGACACTCAGTAGCAGCAGTGTGTACTATCGACAAGATTCACCCAAGATCCTTAAACAGTTCCTTCCAAACCCCTGAGCACTTCCATCTAGATGGACAAGGGAATCAGGTACATGGGAACATCACCACCTGCAAGTTCACCTCCAAGCTACTCGTTATCGTGACTTGGAAATATATTTGCACTCCTACCCTGTCACTGGTTCAAAATCCTGAAATTCCCTCCTTATGGGCATTGTGGGTCAACCTACAGCATGTGATCTCCAGAGGTTCAAGGTGACAATTTATCATCATCTTCTCGAGGACAGCAAATGCTGACTAGCCAGCAATGTCCACACACCACAAGTGAATCAAAATATCCTTTGCACCCTTTCTATTTAACAGTATGTTGCCAGGACAGCAAAATTCCATTTATGAAGAATTACTTGACAGGCTGGGTTGTTTTTCTCACCCTGAGGGCGGTTGGAGTCTGTAACATGATCATGATGTGCGGGTAAACACCTCAACTGCTGCAAACTTCAGGCTTGCGAACCAAACACTTCAAAGTGGGATTCCAGTGGGTGTCCGATTTTTCAGTTTACATAAACAGTGGTCAAGCAATGTTTTTCATTCTGTAAAGTTTCTATGGTTCTATTCTATTTTATTAGATATTTATAAGACAGTGCTGTACATTACCATTTTAGTTAACATTGGCTTTGAATTGCTTGGAAATTTGAGGATAACAATATAATTTTATTCGCTTATCCTCTCTTCATAATCAAACACCCCCTTCAGCAAAGCTTACTTAGTAGTGATTAGGAGAAGTAATTATTGCTGACTTTTTCTCCTCAATGCTATCAGACTTTGCACTCCAAATACATTTGAGAAGATGTCATTATCAACCAGCGATCAATAGCTTTCATCATTAGCAAGTATTTTACTGTCAAGGGTGCTTACCGGTCTTGAATATTATACTGCATGTTCAAATCATTAATAACAAATGGGTTCCTGAGCTTTGCATAAGCTACCGCTTTGTCCAATAGAAATCCTTAAAAAAGACAAAAAGAGTAGTGAATTCAAGATTTCTAACTTAGCTGAAAACAAATTCTACATCTTACTGGCCAAATAAAACAATTAAATGATGGAATTATACTTTCCAATATTTATGATGTATGTCACAGAAGCCAGTTACAACAGCAGTGATCAGAATGAACAGCCGTACTAGGAATGTTAAGTAATTGGTATAAACCTGGATGTTTTGTGCTACATAAACAGATCTACAAACAGTAATGCTAGCAACTGCTGCCTTAAATTGATGATCTTTGGAACAATTTATCAAAATTATCACAAATCCCTATTTTTGACTGTAAACTACGGTAGATCTAATTTCCTTTTCATAGTAAGTAGAAAAATAAAACTAGACTCTCAACTTCAACCTTAACAACTTGCATGGATAATAACTGAAAAGATATATTGGCCTCCGTATTCTAGGCTGAAGGGAGAAGCAAATAAATCATGTAGAATCCAAGTTTGAATGTTATCAAGTGGCTGTTTCATGAAGCAAGAATGGAGCTTGATTGTAATGCTTTCACAGTTGAACAATTTGGCAACTCTGACCATCTGGGCTCAAGTTGTGAAGAACAGCCATGCAACTGAGATACTGGGTGTTTGTAAATATCAGTAAATCTGTTAATTAGTGCTGTCTACAGACTTTCTATTGCCATTTGCACTGGAACTTACTGTAAGTGATAGACAATGCAATTAAAGGTTATAGGGGTCAAACAGGAAAGTAGGAATTGAGACCACAACGAAATCAATCATGACCTGATTGAATGTCAGCAGGCACGAGGGCAGAATGGCTACTCCTTTTCCCAAGTCCTAGGTTTCTATGATTTAAAATCAATTTCAATGCAGCACTCTTTACAGGGTTTACACTCTTTACACTTATGAAGAGTACATATCATCTTCTGGATTAGTGGGGCAAGAGGACATCAATTATGTGATTGTGATACTTAATTGCATGTGTACAGTCACATGTTGCTAGTGATTTTATTATTTAATAACAGTAAACGATGATCATCTCTACAATTCCAAAATCTGGGAAAACAACAGAAAATACACAATAAAGCAAATGATCTCAGCGTTTGAAGGGTAGTAAGATATCATATACACAAAAAAAACCTATACCTTTTGAATGGAAAGAAATGAGACAGTCACAAAGTGGCCACTGTTCCACTGGCTCATTTAGAATTGTGTCCTCTTCAAATATAACAGTAGTGATGTATTTAAACCTACAAAGTCGTCCCAGAATCTCACTCATTGGCTTTGACTTTGATTTCTTGGCCATGGCACAAATTCCGACCACAATCTGCCTTTCTGGTGGCTACAGAAAAATAATACACAATTAATCAAAATAATGGTCTATATAACATCCCTGGTAGCAACTGGATATTTTTCAAAAAAGAAAGTCACCTAGAGGCATTGAACAGAAATATGCTGTTGTGCTGTAAATATTAATTCCAGCACTTAGCAAAAAGTTAAATGTTTACATCTTCATTTAATTCAATTTAAACTTCAATTAATACACAATACATTGACTTCAAATATCTTGCAAAACATTCTAAGAAAGCAATTAGTGCTCAGCACTCACGGAATCATATTCTTCATCTTGATCAAAGTCTTCAAATTCTTGAGGTTTCATTTGATGCAACAGTTCCGTATCCTCCGAACCAAGAAAAAAATTATGAGACTCCAGGCCGTGAGCAGACATGATTGTTCTGGTCTGTGCTTTCTATCAATATCAAGCTGCCAGATTGCTAGCTATAGTATCACCTCTGTGCAACCAAAAGAAGATTGCTCAAGTGTGACTGTCCGATATGTGGGTAGGTGCCAAATCCACTTCAAGTCATTACTGCAATGTCTACATATTTAGTCCATGCATGTTGTTAAAGCTTGCAGCACATCTTATTACTTGGCAAGGTTACAGCCTTCCATCTAAAAATACAGCAGACCAAATTTCACATGAGTGTTAAGTAAATACATTTGTCATCAGATAGATTTACAAGAACATAAATCTGTTATGCCAACTGCCTAATTAAACCAAAAATATGAAATGTTTGAATTTAAAATAACTAAAGTGACATGTGACTGTAAGAAGAGATGTAGATAGAAAAGTAAAGGCTATTTCCTATAGTGCTATACTCAGTCAAAATGGTTAATACAAAACAATCACAAACACTACAAGAGACAATAGGCAGGAGCTCCAAGTTCGAGGCAATTGGAAAAGTTCTTCCCAGTTACATTCAAAATTGTAATCTTTGGATACTGTTTCTGGGATAACCCCTACAAGGCCCGTGGCCCATGGAAGAATCACTAATTAATCTCCCTGTGGAGCTGGTTGATGAGGAGTTCCCTTGGTAACAGGCCCGCCCAGCCGGAAGTCATCACCTGAGTCCTTATAATAGCATCTCTGAGCAGGTTGTTTAGATAAATAGTTTCAATACAATAAAATAAAGCAGACCTATGCTCCTTCCTGCTCTCCCGACCTCCTGTGACTTTTGATTACATGCAGAGCCCGTTAAGAGCTATGCAAACAAATACTGAATTAACTACATGGGTGTTTTTGCTGGTGATGGTTAGTAGTGTAAAAAAGAACAATAAACATGGCGATTTTGGTGCTGGGAAGATCGCACAGTTGTATGTCATAACATTTCTGGGTATAGAGAAAGGAAAATAAAGCAGACCCATTGCCTCTTCCCGCTCTCCCTTACTCCCTTCACTTTTGATAGTTGGCATTGCCCAAAATGGGCTTTGCTTCCGAATGGCTAAATGGCTACACAGGGTGTTTTAGTGATCGCAGCTAATAATTTAACAAAATAAGATCATGGTAATTAGATGGTAGGACAGTAGTTCAGTTGTGTGATAGCACTTTCAGATATAGAAGAGAACAAAAAAACCAGACCTAGATACATACAGCTGGTTCTGATATAACACATTAATTCTGTTCTCATGTGATCAAACGTTAAAAGAAAATCGCTCAATAACCACGACATTTAAAGTGATGGGATTACAGACAATATAGGTAGGGAAAGTTCACGTTCTAAACCTAGCATTCTATAATTCTTCATTTGTGTTAAAACCAAGTCGCATTGAAGAAACACACGTTATATCAGAACCAACTGTATAGAAAAACATTTCAAGCTGACCAAGAAAGTTCTTGTGGTGCTATGGTAGCATCCCTACCTCAGAAGTGAGGAGGCCTGGGTTCAAGTCACACCTGATCCAGAGGACGTATAATAACATCTCTGAACAGACTGATACAAAAATATAAAGTAGACCCAGGGGCCTTGTGATGCAGTGGTATTGTCCACACCTCCAAACCAGGAGGCCAGATTTAAGTCCCACTTGCTCCAGAGTTGTGAAATAACATCTTTGAACAGGCTGATTAGAAAATAAATATTAAAAAAAATCCCAAGCACACATTGGTCCACCAATGCTCTCGATGCCTTTAGAGAGAGGTGGGCTGGGGGATACAGTGCTTTATTTCCCCCTGCAACTCCATTTTGATTTAGTCCATTCTCGCTGTCCTGCAGCTCTCCCACACCCCCACCGACTTTTTGATGGTTCACATTTCCCATAATGGGCTTTGCATTGCAAGCTTCTAATTGGCTGCACAGGTGATTACTGGTGGTGGTTAATAGTTTTTAAAAAAAACACGGTGATATGGTGGTGAGGGAAAATAAAATCATTCATTTGTAAAGGCACTTCTGATATAAAAATAAAGCAGACCCAGTTTAAAAAGAAACAGACTCAGGGGGCCATTCTGGCACAAGTGTTAGTATTCCTACCTCTACGCTGTGGTGGGCTGGGTTCAAGTCCCTCCTGTTCCAGGGGTGTTTAAAACATCTCTGAACAGGCTGAGGTAAAAAAAAAAAGCAGATCCACGTCAGTGATTTGGTGGTGGAAAGACTGTTTCGTTGTGCGATAGTACTTCCAGTCCGGAAAGGGAAAAATAATAAAGCACACCCAGGCATGTAAATATTAATTTGGCCACACAGCTGAATTACTGTTGATGACAAATAGTTATAAACAAAAAAGATATCACGATGATGTGAAAAAATATTCAGCTGTGAGAGACAGCTGTTCTGGATATACAACAGAAAAAAGCAAACACAGAGGGTTCTTGTATCAATGTAGTAATGTCCCTACCTCTGAGCTAGGAAGCCGGGTTCAAGTCCCACGTGCTCCAAAGGTTCATACTAACATTGCTGATCCGACAGATTAGAAAATATCTACAAAGCAGACCCAGGGACAGCTCTATGGAATTGTCTGTTTCGGGCCGGCTCTAGCCAATGTACACCATGAATAGTGACTCGATTTTGATGTTCAACAGTAAATGAAGTTCCTTTTCAGTTTGGCTTTCTGAGTTAATACACAGAGTAAAGAAACATTTTGGACAACTTTGCCTTTCAAATGAACGCAACTGCTGCTATTTGGGAAACTAGAACTTTCTGACATACATGTAGAGAATCAGTACCAGTATGCTGAAAGAATGAGATACCGTTTAATTAGGCAAACGGGATAGAAGGGGATCACCAACAAAGAGACATTTTCCTGCCCGCTTATGGGGTCCTGACTTTCAGCAAAGAGTTTAAACTGCCTGGAGCCCAAGTCAAAATCTTTGATGAACTGGCCTGTTCATGCCACAAGTAGTGGCTCTATTTTGGTGTTCAACAATAAATAATGTTCCTTTCCAGTCAGGCTTGCTGAGTTATTACAATTTCCAACAAAATTCATCAAAAAGTATTCAATTTTCCACAAATCCATTGGACAATACCATGGAACATAGATTTTTTTTTGGCCCCTCTTTGTATAGCAGCTCCTTGTTTAAAGAAATATGTTTTCAAAACTTTCTGTCAAAGCTCACAGGCTCAACCCCACCTCTTGACCTAGGCTAACGATGGACCTAAAATCTGTCATATAAATAGAACCTGACACTAACATGCAATAAAATAATTCTTGTTCAACAGAAAAGCCGCTTCTCGTTAGACGACTAAGTGATCTTCCTCTACCACACCAGACCAAGCACGCTACGTAGATTCTGATTAAGAAAAAAGACGGTAGCAGCAAACCTACCACATGGTGAGGTACAGATTCAGTTTAGCTGCACATAGAATAGTATCATCATTAAGTTGGAATGTTTACTCCATATTTCACAATCAATTTCATCCAGACAGTAAAATGTGGTCCCAGCACTGACCCCTAGGAAGTATCAGTATACTACACTTCAAAGTGAAAAACAATCACCCACCATAATTACTGCTGTCATGAAGCTACTTTGAAATATAAAATCAATTGCAGGGTAATTCTCCTATTCCATATGCCTCAATTTGTTTACCGGCTTTTATAATAACACTTTGTCAAGTGTATTCTTAAAATTTATGGAGTTAACATTCACTACATTCTCTTCATAAACCTTCTCTATATTTACCAAAAACAAACTAGCTGTGTCAAACATACCTTTTAAAAATCAGTGCTGGTCTCCTCAATTAATTCCACTCTCTCTTCAAGTGGCCACTGACTCTTATTTCCCCTTGTTATGGATTTAAAAATCTTGCCTACTATAAATGTTAAATAAACCTGCCTGGAACTAGCCTTAAAGCTATTACTGAATAAACGTAATATTTGCTGCTCTCAATCTTTTGCCACCATCCTCTTGTCTAGAGAAGGTTTAATGAAAAACACAGGAGACATGTCAGAGGCCGCACTTGGCATATCTAAAAAATGAAGTATCAATCTGGTAAAGCTACCAAACAAGACTACTCTCATGCCGAACGGCATAGCAGCAAGTGTTAGACAGAGCTCCATGATCCAACAACTAATGAATCAGATCTAAGCTATGCAGTCCTGTCACATCCAGTAATGAACCATGATGGACAATTAAACAACTCACTGGCGGAGAAGACACCACAAATATCCACATCTTAAATGATGGAAAAGCACAATAGATTGGTGCAAAAGATAAAGGCTGAACCATTTGTAGTAATCTTTAGCCTGAAGAGGGGAGGCGATGGTCTCATGGCTTTATCGCTGGACTGAAGGACTTGTCCAGAAGAAAAAGATGATGTTCTGAGGACTTTACCAGCTTCAAAATCTACCCACCCCCGACCTCATCCCAAGACCAGCACGCCCCTCTCATCCGCCTCCTTGACCTGTCCATCTTCTCTCCACCTATCCGCTCCTCCCACCTCACTGACCAACCCCCACCCCCACTTCCTACCTACACTCACCTTTACTCGCTTCATCCCCGCCTCCTTGACCTGTCTGTCTTCTCCCCACCTATCTGCACCACTATCCACCTTCTATCACCGCGTTCCCCCCCCCCACCTATTTATTTCAGAGCCCGTTTCCCTTCCTCCATTTCTGAAGCAGGGTCCAGACCCGAAATATCAGCTTTCCTGCTCCTCTGATGCTGCCTGGCCTGCTGTGTTCCTCAAGACTAGGGCATCTTTGCAGGAGTTCCTCAGGGTAGGGTCCTAGACCCAACCATCTTCAGCTGCTTCATCAATGACCTTCCCTCCATTACAAGGTCAGAAGTAGGGATGTCTGCTGATGATTATATAATGTTCAGCGCTATTTATGATGTCTCAATATCTGAAACAGTCCATGTTGAAACACAACAAGACCCGGACAATATGCAGGTTTGGGCTGACAAGTGGCATGTAACATTCACACTTACAAATGTTAGGCAATGACCATCTCCAAGAGATAATTTAACTACCACCCTTTGACATTCAATGGTATAATCAAGACTGAAACTCCCTATTCAACATCCTGGGGGTTAATACCAATTAAAAACTCGCTGGACTCAACGTGTAAATACAGTGGCTACATCAGCAGGTCAGAGACTAGGAATACTGCAGCGGATAAGTCATTTCCTGACTCTCCAAAGCCTGGCCACCATCCACAAAGCACAAGTCAGACGTGTGATGGAA